CAACAGCATGGCGAGGAGAGGGAATTAAAGTTGGGGGAGCGGAGGGGAGGTACCGAAACTGTTGATTCTGGTGCTGATTCTGGTTCCCTGCAATTTGATTTTTTTGTGGTTTTAAAAAAACGTAAATGAAAGTTGGGGGCCGGAAATTCATGGTTCTCAGTCTAGGATCCTCCCCAAATGACTTTAATAGTCGTTACGGAGTGAGGTGGGGGTGGGGGGTTAAAAATTATATATAAACTGTTAGACAAGGCGTGCAACTCTAGAGGAGGGGTGAATAGAGTTGTTGAGAATGTTTACCGTTTTTCGTAGGATTAATAATATAAACGTAAGTGCAGCGGAAATAAAAGAGGGAAGGCAAAGAACACACCGATGTATACTGGTTCACCACCCCGTGGCTAGTCCAGTTCCCCGAGAAACTCTCTCGAAGCTACACTACTTCCGTTAAGCTTACGGGTGCTTAGAAAACCGTTTACAACTCGAAAACTTGAATCCCACAAGCCTCGACACAACTGCTCGTAGATATGCCCTCTACAAGACTTCACAACCAAGACTTAAGTCACATAAGTCTTGAGCAACAAGAAGAACAATCTTCTTCAACCTCTCAACATAAACTCTCAAAAGAGTAGAAATGAGAAATGATTAAAGCTCTAATGGATGACAAGAAACTCTCTTGAAAATGCTTAGTTTTCTCTCAAAATATATCAATTTGAGGAAGAATTGAATAGAGGATTATAACTTCAAGATAAGGGAGTTTAGGAGTGCTTCTTGTTGCCTTGAAAATGAAAGAGAATGAGGGATTAAATAGGGTGAGTAGAATAAATCCATTGGTCCAAGAAAAGAAGCTGGGATGAAAAGTGCCACATAAAAATTGATTAACGCATTGTCAGTAATTGATTAATGCAGTCTGTGCAGAAAAGGATAATCGATTAATGGAAGATAAAAAATCGATTAGTCGGCTCTGCCAGCCTTAATCGATTAACAGAGGAGCAAAAATCGATTATTGGCCAGCCCAGAGGAAACCAGCGACAACAAAAAAAATCGATTAAAATAAGACAGAAAATCAATTATTCAGGAAATAATGGTGCAACACAAAGGGCCCAAGGCCAGTTGCGATAGAAAGCCTTTGGCTCGAACTGGTTGTTTGAGACAAGAAGAATCAGGGAGCGCTCCTTCTCTCTTATTCAATGAATTTGAATAAGGGAGTAAAAGTGAGTCCAAAAATTATTTTGTGTGTCAAATGATGTACACGAAAAATATTTGAATAAAATATATTTGCTTACCAAAAATATTTTATAATATCAAAATAAATATTTTGATAAATGTTTGACACACTTTTTGTAACTGACTCAATAAATGTATTTTGAACAGTTAAAAGGATTTTTCAACTGACTCCAAAAATAAATATAATTTTTATTTTAACTCTCATAAAAAATTTTTGGAGAGAAGATATTTTTGTCATCCTTACAATAATTCCTACGACTCAAATAAATAAAAAGTCTTCGGAAATCTTTTACTCCTCTGAGTCCTCCGTTAGGCGCTCCGAACGCGTCTCGTACTCCAATAAAATCATGTGCACCTTCTTGAATACTTCAAGAAATGGCACTTCAAGTCTTTGTGTTTGTCGATGTAGCACTTTGATCTTGACTTGAATAAATTGTGTTTGTCAATTATCAAAACATGTGAGTCAACACTAAACAACACAGAAAGGGTTGAACTCATGCATTCCAACATAAACCTCTCATTAGTTTCTTCAAAAATCACACCATTCGCTGTATCTCTTACCCTCTTATACTCTTTCTAATCTCTTATTATCTTAAATATTCATACTATTTATATAAATATATCAATCTATTATAATATATTAATAATTTCATATTATAAATCTATAATATATTACTCATATTAAAATATTATAATGTAAGTATATTATATTATATAAATATATTATCTATCTTAATTTTTATATTACTCAAAATGTCGCATAGAAAGCCATCGGTTAGGGAAGTTCGAACCGAAAAACTTCAAAAAAAGGCAAAGCCACCGCCATGACCAAAGGTTCAAGCTCACATGTCTCCAAACTGAGACACTCTGTCTCGATCGTTCTGACAATCCCAGAGCAATGTGCGTCTTAAAACACTTGACGATTTCTTCGAGGACAAAGGCAGGGAAAGAGAGGAACCAACTCCCAAGAGCAACGCCCCTTCTGGGGAGACATGTGAATTTGAGACCTCTGAAGGTCTGGGAAAAGGTAAAAAAACTTAAGTTTGATTTATTTGTATATTATTTTGACAAAGAAACAAAAAATGGCATTGTTCGGGGAACTTAATTGCAAATAGTGCGGGGCGGTGATAAATATGGAGATCTCCGGATGTTATGATTCGTTGACCAACCACCTATAAGTGAGGCACCCCGTGGAGTTTTCCAAAATGAAGGGAAATGGAGAACAAACCTAGATTTCTCACTTTGCCAACAAATATAAGGGTGGCCTCTTTGTTTAATTTATAGCAATGTGCAAAATAAGCAAAGGATGGCCGAGATGATTTGTGAGAAGAATTTACCTCTCACGTTCTCTAAAAAATTTGGCTTTAGTGATTATTGTCAAAATGCACTAAACCCTCAAGCAAGTAGATTTTTAGGAAAAACAGTTAAGAAATACTCCCTCCGTCCCAAATTATTTGCAACGTTTTCTTTTTCAGCAGTCGCGAGAACTTTTGTTTATTTCTACGTTTTCATTGGTTATTTGATAAAATAAAATATTCTTGACACCTCTTATTTCGAAAAACTTTTCATGTAGGTTTTTGATATATAAATTTTATTTTTTATTTCTATACCAATATGTAAATAAAATGAATTGAAAAAACTTGATATTTTGCCTCGGGAATACAAGTGTGGCAAATATTTAGGGATGGAGGGAGTAAATAATTAGATAATGTGAAGTTGATAAAAATTATTTGGCCAATGTTTTCTTACTTTTAGATATGGTGTTACTATTTGCTCTGATATTTGGAGTGAAACACATCATAACTTTTCCTACATGGTGTTACTTGTCATTTGACATTTGATAAATGGGTTCTTGGTGGCCTCTTGGCGAAAAAAAGTAAGAGTACATCTACCTCTACAAGAACATGATGAAGACAATGAACTTGCGATATATCAAGGCGTTCCATGCGACTTCGATGAAGACAATGAAAAAATGAGTGACATCCTCGAATGGTGAAAGTGGAATGAACGCATGTTCCCAACACTCAGAATGCTAGATAGATAGATCTTATCTATGCTGATGTCAACGATAGTTGTGAAACACGAGTTTAGTTCTAGCAGAAATATTTTGACCAACTTCCGGAGTTCTCTTAACGCTGAATCATTAGAGACACTAGTTTGCAACCAAGATTGGCTCTTGACAAGGCATTGAGCACAAGAGGCAAGATACGACATTGATACGCGAAACTATATAGACGCAACCATAGAGGGAACTGGTAGTTCCGAAAAATGACTCACTCAGTATTTTGTTATTTTCTTAAATTGTAATTCGTTTTTTAGATGAGTGGTTTATAAGCTCCTTTGAAAGTTTTTTTTACGGTTTTTACATCGTCGCTTTTTTTAACCGCCTGGACCATAAATGTAGTTGAGGCTATCCAACTTTCATTATTTAAATAACAACTACAAAAGATAAACTTTTTAAACATAGCCATATATCATATTTAAATTTAAAAAAAGAATTAGGAACGGGTACCGAAACTAGAACCAGAACTGCCAGTTCTAGAACCGGCATTGCGAGAGACGAATGACGGTTACGGGTACACAACCTGGCGGTACCGAAATCAGTGGTTCCGAAACTAGAACCAGCTCAGAACCATACCGTGTTCAGGTCTAACAAGAATCAAACTCGAGTATTACCACCTGGACACCATTTGCCTTGCCAACTACACAACGACCGCCCGCACGGCCGCACAACTATAGTAAAACCTTATTCTATGGTACCCTTGATTTTTTGGTAATAACTCTCTTGTCCCACATTATTTTAAATATACTTCGGGGTACTCTCAATTTTTTGGTAATCCTTAAAATTTGTGATATTATACTTTGAGGGTACATTACATCCATTTAGGTGCTAGGAAAATCCTTTTACATTGAGAAACTCTAGGATTTTATTAAAATTTAATTAAAATAATGATTATGAAAGTAAAAATTAGTATTTATCAAAATACCAAAACTTTAATTCTAACGGTCAAATAGATGGAATATATCCAAGGAGTACACTACTACTAATTTTAAGGACCCTAATAGTATACTTCAAATAATAGAGAACCTCAGAGTTATTTCCAGAAAATCGAGAATATCCAAGAGTATATTTCAGATAATATAGGACTTTAAAACCATTACCAAAAAATTAAAAGTATCTAGGAGTAACTTTTTGAAGATTCTAGGGTGAATTTCAGGGGACGGGCAGCCCATCCAAAAAAAACAAATGCAATCCGATATCACAGTTTTTTCAATAAAAAATTCGGAGCAATGAACAATTAATGCAAAAAAATAAGATTTCACAAATAACCAAACAAGTTATCAATGAGACTCGATGTTTGTTGACGGAACTCGATTTTTATTTTGTCAAATACGGATTAATAACACCACATAATTTAAATTACTTATTTACTATTCACAAGGTCAAAATTTAATCATGGTCTTTATCAATTTCAACTACCTATCCGTAAAAATAATAATTTTATCATCCCTAATTTTGTAAATCTTTTGAAGTAGTTTTTAAATATATAAATACTATTTTTTCAATTCCACACCATTTTTCAAAATTTAAATGAATTAAGTCAACAATATTTTTAGTCAAACTTCATAAACACAAACAGGTGATTTAAATTAAGACGAGGGGTTGTAAAAAAACCATGTAAAATGAATATAAATAATGCCAATAATGCCAGATTAATAGGGAGCGTTGCACATGACCAAATAAAAGAAATGAAGTAGATGTATATAATTTGAAAGCAAAATGGCATCTCAATCAATCATGGGATATAAAAGTTTGGGACTGCACACAGATTACACTGCTGTAGAGAAACGAAAGCGCAAAAAAAAACATATTTTCGTTTTATACAAACTATGAAAACTATTAAAGAAATGAATATGGAAAACAGAGGGAAAAGAATACAGGTGTAGGAAACAGGGAAGAAACCCCAAATCTGTAAAACATTACACAAATGCCTGCGAGCCAATTTACAAAACACCTGTTGGCTAGCTACAAGTAACCCAGAAGACAGAGATTGGTATCAATGGTATTGGTTGTGCATTAAAAGGCTTTCCAACCATCAGAAGAATCTCTTCTTGGTGTTTCACTATCGAGAGAAGCTTTAAATGGCTGCCCGGTCGATCCAAATGCATCATCATCAAAGGATGAGAATCCACCCCCCTTACCGTAATCCAATGAGTCCCTATGCATGGTCGAATCAAACCTGGCCAGTGTCTCTTGAGGTGCGGCGCCAAAGGTATATTCAGAATCTGCTGTGCTGCGGAAGGAGTCGAACCTTGCTAGGGAAGGACTATCACGTGATGATGAGAACAAATCATGTCCATAGTAGTCTGTGTCCCCCCTACTACTACTCATGGAATCAAACCTCGCGAAGGCTGGTCCTTCAGATTTGAAGGAGTCAAATCTAGAGAAGTCTCTCGAGCGGTCTGGAGAATTATTATAACTGTACATGGGTGTGCTTGGAACAGAATCATCAAAGAAAGAGCTCTTCTTTGAGGATGGATTTTCTGTGTATGAAGAAAACCCGGCAGCATTATACGTTGGAGTACTAGGAACAGAATCAAAGAACACACTTTGCTTCGAGAATGCATGTTGTATTCCAGAATCATGACTTGGAGTACTGGGGACTGAATCAAAGAACGGGCTTTGTTTTGGAAACAGATCACCTGCACCCAAAGGCCCGATGTTGTAACTTGGAGTGCTAGGGACCGAATCAAAAAATGGACTTTGTCGTGGGAAAGGATCGCCGGCACCCATAAGTCCAATATTGTAACTTGGAGTACTAGGAACTGAATCAAAGATTGGGCTTTGTTTACCCAATGGGCCAATATTGTAACTTGGAGTGCCTGGAACCGAATCAAAATATGGGCTGTGCTTGGGGAGTGCATCATCTGTGTGTTTGGATCCAGTTTTTATAGGGGCTAGGCTCCAGTCATCAGAACCAAAAAGAGAGAGTTCCTTATGCCTCTCATGATCAGCATCCTGAAAAATTGATGAGATCGGAGTTTAAAGGGAAAAGGGTACTGTTTTGAACTTACAAACAAGGATGATGCAAGGGATGTACTGTACATCCAAATTACAGCCATGACTGTCCACATCAGCATTGTTAAGAACACATTTATTTTAGCATTTTTGAAATATATGTGCATACCTTGCTAGAAATGGAGTTGATATCAAATGCATCATAGTGAGTGTCAGACGCACCCCAGCCTGAATCAGCAAACCTTCTATCCTCAGACAACACAGATTCAACACCGCCATGTTCACTTCACCAGTAAAAAAAGAGGGAAGTTCAGACTCTAGATAAGGATGCAATAAACTTTTCATTCTGCCTCAAACTTCAGATTCCATTATGATGCAACAGAACCTTTGATGTATTTTTTTTCAAAATGCCACAAATAAATTAGGGATGTTGAATTTAGTTAAACCAACGACAACAACGAAAAGCCCAGTAAAATCCCAAAAATTGGGGTTAGGAGAAGGTGTGCATAGACCTTACCCCTACTTAAAAGGTAGAAATGGTTATATTTAGTTAAACTAGAACACAAAATTTAAAATAAAATAACAACTGATTTTATTTTAATTATCTAAAAAGTTGTGCCTGAATAAAATTTAAAGGTTGTACTATGATGAAACAGAGACATGATTAGTGATAAAATTATGTTCAACTTATGGTTGGCTGGTGAAGGAAATATGAAAGAGACATCTGAAAGAATTAGAAAGAAAGCAATGTCACCTTTGCGTCGCATGGGGTGAACCATCAAAGCTTTTTTCCTTTGTAGGTGATTCACTGTATTCCCTTGAGGAGTCCTTTGTGTGTATGCTCTTTGATGGACTTTTTTCCCCTCTTTGCTCACCACCAAAGGCAGATTCCTCGTCGTCCATTGCTTCCATTTTCTGAGGGCTTGACAACTTCTCGGACTTTGCACCAGCTTGATAGTGTGATTTTCCCGCTTCACTGTAATTGGAATGTGTCTTATCACATATCACAGAAGACTTCAGTTTAGGAGGAGCTATGACATTTGGCACGTCGAGTGTGAGCTCTTTCACCAATGTGAATCCTTAAGTCCATACCAGTTGATAGCGGGATTAGAAAGAGCCAGCAACAACCAACAAAAGATATTTTTGATAACTCACAATAATTTGTTTACAAAATATAGTTAATAGACAATTACTCACTCCATCCCAAAATGAAATTTACCCTTTGACTTCCTAGAGTTTAAAAAAGTATTGAAAAGTGAGCAGTTTGTTGAAATTCATTTCAAAGATAGATAATAAATTAATAATAATAGCCACATATTCATTTCCTAAAAGGGAAAGTGAAAAGTGTAAACTTCATTTTGGGACATTCAAAAAAACAGGTATAAACTTCATTTTGGGACAGATGGAGTAATACCGGATGCCTTAAAGAGGAAAAGTAAACAACTAAATTCAAACGGAGGGAGTATTTATTTGAGGCAATCTAGTCACATTATAATGTATTTATCTTGAATTTAGAAAAAATTATTGTTTCCATAAAATGTGTGCAAAAGTCTACACCAACACTTGAGATAAAAGGGAGTATTAGAAAGGATGAAATGCCCTTAAATTCAATGGGAATTTTCCAGTACACGCTTTCATCAAAGGAATTAGAGTTGTCGTACTAAAATGGGGTAATACCCTCCCTAAAACTCAGAGGCGCCTTTTTCCAACAATACATACCTTCATCTTCAAATTTATCCCAATCTTCATCCCAGTCTGCTGCTCCCTCTTGGATGCCAGGTTGCCAACCTTCAGAAATGTTCAGCATTAAAGCCCACAGCAAATTCATAGAGTATGGGAAAAAATAATAACATGGAAGGAATATAATGAAGCTTCACAGCCCTACCAAGTACCAATAAAATGTGTGAGTGTTAAGACTACGGGTAAGACTGTAAAGCTAAGTAGGAATTTTTTAGGCAGGAATGCTAAAGAAAGTTGGTGTCAAAGTTTTGGTTAAAGGATCGACAAAATCTAGGAAAAGAAGCACCTGAGGAACTTCACTTTTTACCAGTTTTATAACTGATATGAAAAACTAATGGTGAATGTGGCCTTGAAAATATATGGACTTCAGAAAGAAAGAATGGTGTCACTAAAACTATATACCTTACTCACCAACTGGAGAAAAACCTTGGGTTTGTTTTATATCGATTCATGAATTGGGTAAGTAGAAGTACAAAATTTTATTATGGTAAATTCGCAAATGAATAAATATCTCATGGCTAATGTCCTATAGAGAATTTGGTTGGCAGATAAAGTAAGGCTAACATACTCGCGCTGAATATCTCAAAGAGATCTTATGGACAGATTTACAGGCTTACAGCCAAATCAACTTGCATGACAGTGAAGTGGAATGATAAGATGCATACCAAATGGAAGCTCCAATAGTGAAGTGGGCTTAGCACGTAGCCCATATGTTTTGCAGCGTGCATTTAATGACTTAACAAGCTCCTCAATTTCCAACTGTATGCGATTAGAATTTTCCTGTAAAAGTCATAGAACATTAATCTTTACATGTGTGCTGCTGTGGCACAAGGTTTGATGGTCATTCATGCTAGTTTGAGGCAACAGATAGATATGTAGTGGATTCTAAGCAGTTAGAAGACCCTACCTGAACACCATCAGCACTGTCATTCTGATCTAGTTTATGAATTGCACGGTATAGCTCCATCTTTTTCTCCTAAAATTTCAAATAATTCAAAACAATGCCACAATTTTCAAACCTTGCTACATTAAAATTCACTTGAGAAAACCTATCAAATTACATAAAATAAGTTGTATCACTCCAACAGTTAAAAAATGGAGATTGAAATACACCTGAATATCACGAAATGTGGCCTCCTCAATCGTTAATTTTGAAGCAACATCTCCAGACTGCTTATATTTCTCTTCATATTTTTTTTCCAGTGACTCAGCCTGCAATACAACTTTTCCCATGAGATCAATAACCATAGAAATCATGAGAATATGTCAAACCTTGAATCTTTAAAAAGTTCACCTCTTTTTTGACAGCAGAAGACCTTTCAGTGATCTCGTTTAGTCTATTGTCACATCGGCTTTTATATAAAATCTGGTAAAAAATGTCTCATGCAAAAAGGTAGACTGTCAGTAACGCAGGCCAACTTCAAATACAAAGCATTGCATGACCCAAATAAAAGTAAAAGATACTGCTATATATGTCTACATGCACACATTCACACAGACTGATCCTGCTAAACTAAAAAGTATATGGTGTAAAACAGATCAATCACAAATGTGCATATAACAGACCATCTAAAATAGATATCAGTCCAACCAGAGAATACTTTTCCTACTGTCCTTTGGTAACTGCATACCCCTTGCGAAAGAGCAATACTGCTAATCTACTACATGCTTCAAACACAAACACTTTTGAAGCATAGTTGTCAAGGCACCAGGGCGAGTGTACCACCGGGACACCTAGTCACCTATGCAGCAATTACGCAACACATAATAAATGAGAATTGATGTACGTTAGTAACACTAATATTAATATACTCCCTCCGTCCCACTATTTTTAGGACATGGGGGAGTGGCATAAGAATTAAGAAAATGAGATTGTGGTTGATATTAATGTTAAAATGTAAGATAAAGTAAGAATGAATGTGAGTCACACAAACATAACTAAATATGGTATGCGACAAAAATAGTGGGACAAAAAAATGTAAAAAGGGACAAAAATAGTGGGACGGAGAAAGTGTACTACACAATATATTACTCTCCCTCCATCCCAATTCCCAAAAAAACAACACAGTTCACTATTCAAAAAATCACGGGAACTTTTGTTTATTTGTGCATTTTCTTTAATTATTGGATAAAGTAAAACTTTGATGTAGTTTTTAAAAATGTAAGTTTTATTTTTTATTAATATACCAATCTTTAAATAAAAATGAATTGAAAATACTTAAAATTTCACTTCATTTTGTGTAATGTGATTCTTTTTGGGACGGAGTGAGTAATTCATAAAATTTAAAGTTCAAATTTAGAAAAGTTTATTGTCCACATGAAACAAAATATATATAAAAAAGTTAAGAATAACTTTGAAACGTAAGTTAAAATAAAAAATTCAGAATTGTACTTTTAAAAAAATCTAAATAGGAGGGCTTTGTGACAAAGGCTTAATTACTCCAAAATAAATCATAACTGGAGTTTTTAAAAATGACTTTTTTATTTTATTAAGATTATTCTTAATTTTATTTTTGTCTTGAAATTCATATTCTAGACAAACCAACACAACCAAACCCAAATATCCCACTCAAGAGTACAATCTAGGGATATTAAGAGCGAATATAAAACTTCCAAATCAAACCAACACAAGCAAACCTAAATATCCCACTCAAGAGTAGGGCCTAGAGCTAGATATACAATTCTAACCAAACAAAGATTGATATGCAGTATGGGTGAGTAAAAGACATATACACAGCCATCTAGAATGTACGTGTTTAACCTATACAAAAGCTCTCTATTGATTATATACATCTCTAGGGATGCCTATCGTAGGACATGTACCCTCAACCAAATAGCTCTTTGCCCTCCTCATTGGCAACATTGCATCTATACAGCGGAAGTGACCAAACCTTCACTGCTTGCCTTCTCGTACTTCAACAGTAATCAGAAATACATTACAAATACCCCAAGATTCAAATGTAATACTTCATTCGATATTCTGTAGCCTGTCTAACAACGTACGACAAGAGATCCATTACAAAATCCTCATTTCCACAACTTAGAGCAAACCACTATTCCAGTTTTGTGTCCCCCCTTCATTGTCTCTGCAACAAGTGCAATGTCATCCCAAATGTCACGGAATGCTCTCATGAATTCTCCTAGAGATAACTTCCAAAATCACAAGAGCAAGCTAACGTAGGTACTTGGTGAGTTGGTCTAACCGGACTTCCACAAAGACAAAATATGTGTCCCCTACACGAGTCTTATCATATCTTGAACTCACACATACATATCTTGTATCGTTGTCATGTACCATTGTGGCAGCCTTACAGTTCCATATAGAGGTAAATACAATGCTCCTTATACTTCTCAACAAGGTGCATTAAAAAAGTGGATTGTTTAAATTGTAGACCTTGTTGACATGAAACCTAATTGGTTTCACACACCTCCACTCTTTGTTGTACACTGGACTCAATCATTCTCTCCCATAATGTAATAGTGTCGCTAAGTAACTTAATGTCATGTTAGTTACGAAAATTTGAATATTGCATCTATTCTTATAGAGCGACATCATTAAACTAGCCTTCAGCCATTCACTCCTCACGCATCTTTGAAATCGTGAGGATGATGTTAAAGAGTTCTGCAGACACTATGCCTCTTCATCACCCCCCCCCAGTACCATAAAAAAGACTAGTTCCACCCATGCTCAATGCTTGAGGGTACATTTGGGATGTCAGAGATTGATGGGGAAGGTAATGGTGGGATTAAGTTTTAATAGAATTAAAAACTGCTTGAACTTATTACTCCATATTTCGTAAAATAGAAGATATAAAATAATATAAACTCAATGTTGTGGTCATTTATTTAGTGTTATAAACTGTATATAATTCTCTTCATTAAGAAGAGAAAATACCCATGTTCTCCCATCTCCTCCAAAATCCCTCTCCCAAACATACACTTAAAAGATATGGTAAGAAGGAATTCCCAACTACAAAAGTTCTTCCCCAACAAGTATAAAGTGGAACCGCAAAGACAACTATGTGAACTACACATTGAAGTAGAAGAGAGGATGAAAAAGATGTACTCACAAGTTCTTGCATCTTTGAATGATAGAAATGACTTTTTTCTTTTGCGTCCGAAATTTCCTTCTCTAGTTCTGCAACCTGAAATTGATGTATAAGGCAATGCAAAAATGTTTGTGCTGGCTCTTAAGAGAACTCATCGATAATCAATTGTCATTTAGTAAAATCATATTCACATCTGGTTATCAGCACTATTAGCGTGTTTGGATTGAGAGGGAGGTGATTAGTAGTAAAAGAGATGAAAGGGAGAGTACAAAGAAGGGAGGAGAAGAAAATAGTGATCAAAATAAGTTTGTATGGATTGTATAAGTTTAGTAAAGAAATAAATGGATGAAATCAATAAGAACTATGTATAATATTTTTGTTGTGTGGATTAAAAAGGGAACAAGAGAGAGTAATAAATTTTACGAAAGAATGTAACTTTGAGGGGAGTATTTATCCTCTCTTTTCCATCCAATTGACACCTAATTTGGAAGAAATATACTTTAGGGGAATGAAAGAATTGAGAGCACCCACCCATTAACCTCGCCTCCATATACACTCTACCCAAACAACATAAAGTTAAGTGTCCTCCCTTCCTTTTCCGTCCCTTCACCCCCATTCCCCTCAATCAAAACTAATGGTAAGGGATTAGCCATGTGTCAAAAACATAAGCCTATCTTATGACTGGTAGTATATGCATTACGGTAGTCGGTATAGCCCAATATTCACAAAATGGAAATGAAAGGGATAGTAACAATTACGTACTTAGTAAAGGAAAACAAAGACTATTAGCAGGACAAAAGTGGATGATTACAGGCCATATTTTAACTAATCGCATCAACTAAACCATATCTTGTTGGAAAAAAGGGTGCTACTTAACAACTACATATATGTTTGACATATTAAGATAGTGGATAAAAATATATAGCAAGAAAAGGATCTATTAATGATTTAGTAAACCTTAACCTAAAAGTAAATTTCTAGGCATATACGGAGTACGATGTAACATTCATACACATCCACTGCATCATTAAATTAATAGTTTTCAAGTTCTCCACTAACCCACTAACTTGAGTATTTCCTAGAATCCTAACATTAAATAAAAAGTGGAACATAAAACTTAAAAATTATTACTTTCTTCTCCGCATCGGTTGCCTCTTGGAACTTTAAGGTCAGAGAATTTTGTTCTTCAGGGCTAAGTTGGTCGACAAGATGCTTCTCCAGTAGTGGGGGCTTTTGTTGAGTAGGCTGCTTTGGCTCATCAGCCTGACTATTGGAGACTGGACGTGGTGGCTTTCCTAGAGGAGCGGATGCAACTGGTCGTGGTCCTTTTACCCCATGCAATTGCTGCACTACTGATAAAGACAAAAGAAAAGGTTATGGAATATTTTGGAGATGAAAAGCACTGCAATATGACCATTATGACTCAAAGGAGTGGTAAGAGCTTATACCAGGAGTATGCTTCCAAGCTGCTCCAGGAGTAACTTTATTAGAAGCAAACACCAATGTCTCGTCCAACATGATACTACTTGGAAGGACAGAAGGAAGAAGGCGGCCTTCCCTATATCGCTCCATCAGGTAAAGCGCGATGCAAAATTCTCTCAGAGATAGCATACTATCATTGTCTTGATCAGATAAGTCCCATACCTGCCTTAAGACATCTAGCAACCCCAAAAGCCACTTAAAGTACAATGTCTCAGGGATCAATAAATATAAACAAACCAAGAACCTCTACGGCCTAGAGAAAAAGCCCTCTATACTGCATAATACATACAGGTGGCTAGTACTTTCTATTAATCAATTTTAGGTTATATACAGCAGAGTACTACTGGCCAATTATGTCAATGATCCAATCAAAGCAAGTGTGGCATTAATTGTACACTACAAAAAAATACAAGCATATCATTGGGTGGAGATGTGAGAGGGCAGACAAACACAGTGCCTAGAAAAAAGAAGAAACTTAAGGTATCCTAAAGCAATCCACTGCTTCAAAACTTTTGAGAAATATAACCAAAGTTTTTTCAATTCGTGATTGTTATGAAATAAAACTAATATCAGCACTCACGGAAGTGCACCAGTTAAATTATAACACTTAACTAATAACGGGATCCCACTATAATCGAAATAGATTAACAATAAATAGATTAAAATGTACAAGGAGTATAATATGAAAGAGAAAAAACTGCATAATTTCAACGATAAAAGTGAAATAATTAGTATAAAGCACCTTGAGGCAGCTTCCAACTCAAAAACAGGTTCCGTGCCTGTTCACCAGTAATTTTCCCATCTCTGTCTGTATCTACAGCAACAAATACTTTGTTATACTTCTGAATATCAGCTTGAGTCATCTTTGACCATGGCGTCTGAGGCTCAACAGGACGAGAACTTCCTGCTCCACCATGAACTACAGTGGAACTTTGAACTGGGAGCTTTTGGTTTGGTTTTGTTGTTGTATGTGTTTGCTGGTACTGATGGCTCAATAAAGGCTGAGAATTGGTGTTTCCCGAAGAATGAACTGAAGTAGGCATTATAATTGGTTGAGATGTTGCAGATACTGGGGGTTGAGCTAAAGAGGAAGGTAAGCTACTAACGGAAGGTGTGGGTTGCTTGAATTCCTGTTGTGGCCGGACCAAGGGTGCAGAAAATACGTCTCCAAAAAGAGAATTGGAAGCAATCCCATTCCCTGACACTTGAGCTTTCATGGATTTCATATCTGGAGGTTGGTAACCCGCCGAAGTTGAATCATTTGAGCTAGATGAACTAGGCTGCCCCAATGAAGTAGTTTCTAGAGGTTTTGATGGTGAAGATGCAGTCAACCCAGATGCAGCATGGCCAATTACATCCTGACTGTTAAAACTAACAGTTCTGTTAGGAATTTGGGACACAACCCCTTGTTGGGGACGTATAGCTCCAATACGAAGCCAATCAGAGGAATTAGGAGCAAGCGTAGCAGGCATTGAAGATCCCACCGACACTCCTGGAGTTGAAATGCCTGATTGCGATTGAAATGCGGTGCTAGGAGTTGGCAATCGAGGTTGACTCATTAATTGGTTTTGTTGAGATGGAAATCCCTGTGAACCTGTTATGCCACCATTAGGAGTCACCATGGGTGCTGCACTAGTAATTGGGGGGATAGGAGCATCTGGCTTATTATTTGGGTTAGGACGTGATGAAACTGTGACATTTATCTGGGGAGCAGGAATTTTAGCTGAAGCTGGACCGTATAAGGCAGCCTTAACTATGTCAGGGGTCAACTCCCGTTTACTTTGTGCAACAGTTACAAGTTTTAGAGCATTGTAAAATTGTGGACGACTCAGAAACCCAGTCTGGTTTTGATCAGCATGCGCCCAAATCTGCACAAAAAATATAGGATTCATATATTAAGCACAACTTCAGAAACAGCATACTCTCCAAGCCTGATTGTAAATCACATGTGATGAATATGTCTAGTTTAGGACTTAAGTGTATGTGTGCAGTGACCGGAACTGGCTATTTTAGCACATATCTAAGCAGCAAATCTATAACATCAACATAGGATTCCATGTACAAGCCTCCTAAGTCCAAAATCATAATTAGTAGTCAAGTGTCCCAAGCAGAGTAAAATAACCAACTCAAATATCCTAACTCTAAATAATTTTAACCTCCTACCTTTCTGATTCATATGTCATCCACAATATCATACCGATATTCATGAAAAACGTTAACAATCCCATTGTTAAACACTCTATAACCTCACAAGCGCATATTCTAATATTATCCCAAAGCAGTTTAATATCTGCATAACCGTTCATCAAATCAAATGACCCAATATTCCGTGTTGGTCGAATGGAAATGAGAGACGAAATGGAAGGAACCTGAGCAAGGACTTCTTTGCGCAAATTGGATCCCTGGAAGAAGGCAACAGCCTCTGCGCCACTGATTCGGCCGTCACGATCCAAATCCGCCTTCTGGAAATACGCCTCAAATTGGTCCGTGTTCGGCGCAGCCATTACAGAAGAGGCGAGTCTGCAGTCGAATCCGAAAATGGAATAAGTGCGATAGATCTGCGCTAGGGAACCATTTAGCGTTAAGAATCTCAGAGGGTTTGGAGGTCCCGACCGGCTAAACGACCACCGGAGATGCGGGTTGGGGTAGATCAGTGGTGGTGCTCAGGGAATTGGGAAATGACAATAAAAAGCCGACGTAACGTTTGTTTTAACTGCGCGTAGTTTTTAGTTGTACGCTCGCATATTTGCTTAATGGTCAATTTACAATCGTCCCGTCCTATACAGTTAAAGACCACTAGGTAATAATTTTCCAATCCAATTTGCCACTAATTAGAGCGCGAGCAATGCTACATTTATAAACAAGATATTCACAAAATTCACAAATTTACTATTTATGGTTTAACTTTTAATTTTAAAATTATTTTAGACTATTTAATTTTATTTATTGAAGTTCACAATTAGTAAGTTTGTAAAGTTTGTGACCATTTTGTTTGTGAACCAAGAATTATTCTTAGAGCGCAGTGCATTGCGTTTCAGAATTTAGTTTTTGTTTTAAATGACTATTATTTTATTTTGTTTGGTACATCAATTTAACTTTTTTCTACCATCATTTTGTATATAAAACACCATTTCGGAAAAAGATATATATGATGTTTCTGCTTTCAGAAAATCTTTTTACTCAAAATTAATCACTCGCAAACACACTCTTAACAAATCACTTAAAATAAGAGTGAAAAGTCAGTGGAGTTCCGTTGGCACTCGCCAACGGTGACACTAGGTGAGTTAGGGGTTATGAACCATCAATTTTCTGATTGGAGCACCTCCCGCAGTGGCACTGCTAGTGTCACCGTTGGCAAGTGTCAACAGAATCGTACTCATGAAAAATATACTTTGTTTTTTCCTTAACCATGTGGTATGTGTCGTGAGGAGAGATGTGTAATCCTCTTTCGCGCCCCACCACACCCAAATTGCCACGCCATGTTCTTCGTGACGATGGCATGACACTTGGGAGGTGACTTTCATCACAACATTGTCCCTCTATTTCTTTTTTTACCTCAAAACAATCTGTTGGGGTGTCATCCCACATCGGAAGTTCAAGAGCAAAATAATCGGTATATAAGCTCTTGAGTTGAACTAACTAATTAATTGGATTCAATCTTTTAATGTGGTTCAGCCCAAATGTCTTATTGCCCAATCCAGTTGTCCATACCTAATCCTAAATTCTATCATGGTATCAGAGCAGGTTTTGGCTCACCTCGTTTGTCAAGGTGCCCGTCTAGACGTTCATTCCTAGCGGCTCGTTTGTCTTTAGCCCAGTTGTCCATATGGAGTATGTACCCAACGGCTTGTGGCCCGTTTAACACGATTGCTCGTATGGAAGTCCATACCCAGCGGCTTGTGGTCCTTTAGGTGTTGGCGCTCAAAAAAAATTCAAGCAATGGGAGTTTATTTGCAAGTGGTCAACCGGTTAGATTAAAAATGGCCCGGTTGTCCACTTGAGGGGGAGTGTTAGAGTGTCATCCCACATCGGAAGTTCAAGAGCAAAATAATCGGTATATAAGCTCTTGAGTTGAACTAACTAATTAATTGGATTCAATCTTTTAATGTGGTTCAGCCCAAGTGTCTTATTGCCCAGTCCAGTTATCCATACCCAATCATAAATTCTACCACAATCAAAATTTAACACATCTATACTTTAATCAATCAAAAAATAACACTTTCACACCTTATCGCTCTTCTTCACACTCAATATATCACGCGTATTTTTATCACTCCACTTCATACTCCAAGATCATCAAGTCCCGTTAAGCTTCACTGTAACACTGAGTCTTAGAATAAAAGTGACATATTTTTATTTCTAAAATAACTGTTTTTATCGTGACAATGTGGCACTATATATTAACACATTTTAGTATTTTTGGTATTATTGACATTATAAGTCTTATTTTGAAATAAAAACATGATGGTCTTATTTTTAATTTTTCTTATGTTTTACTCTTATTTTAATATTTCTTTCTTAATACCTTTTTAGATCTTCCCTCTTAGATCCATAGGTGTGTGCATGGATCCAAATTCGAATTGAGCCGAATCAATATCAAATGAGATCTATTTTTCAAATTGAAGACTAAACTAAATAAGGAATCACCTAGGACCAGACTAAATGAGAATCGATATAGGTCTTTTTATTATTTATTCAAAATATATACTCTGTATTATTTTATCTCTTACTACAAAAGTGTTAGAGAGTAGGGGTGAGCAAATTAACTGGGCCGACCACAAAACCGAAAAATCGAAAACTGAAATAACCAAAAGTTCGATTTTTGTTTCAGTTTTCATGCAAATATGTTTTTCGGTTTTTTGGTTGGTTTTGGTTTTTTGTGAGAAAAAGCCAAACCGACTGAATAACCGATGATTTTATTTTAATTTATTTTTTATTTTTTAGAATAAGAAAATATTTGATCAACACACATGCTTTCTTCTTACTTTTGCATAAAAAACTTTATTTTTTTACTTTAAAAAAAATTATTTGTTAATATTTTGAACATATTAATAAGAAAAGTGAAAATTTTATATAAATTGTCATTGTATATTCAAATAAAGATTAATCTACCTTACTAAATTAATGACAGTAGAAACGTTCTGATGGAAACCGTTATTTCAGGGCGTCAACATGACGAACTCGGTACTGGGTCGGCACCGCACTGAATAGCGAAATCCAGTAAGTAAATAAATAAATAAATAAATAAATAAAGCGGAGAGAAAGTATTTATACGTGGAAACCCAAATCGGGAGAAAACCACCGGCCTTTTAGGTAGTGCCATGCCAAGGGGAGGAACTTTTATCACTCTCAAGGTAATTTACATATACACCATTATCAAAATTTAGAGCCATCAATTGAGCTCTTAAATCCAAAATGAGAAGATGAAAGAATTATAGTACTAGGAGCTCTCCCCCTCTTCTCTCGTAACCTCTACAAATGTAAAGGGGGGGAATCCCTCTCAAAAAATCTATGTGGGCTTTTCTAAGGTGTAGGGTTTTTTGTTCCCTTTTCATGTGTATCTTCCTTTAAAGGGAGAGAGGAATAATTAATGGAGGCAAAAAGGACATCCTCAGCTCCATGTGAAACCCACATGGCATTCAAGAGAATTTCCCTGGGGTCTCACAAGATATATTTACATCACTTCAAATATATTGTTTTGTCAACATATCTATAATTCCATATTGAATAATTTATCTGATTTGTATCTTAGGTCAGACTAAAATGGGCTTATTTGTACTGTTCAAATAACATTGTATTAAGTAAAATTCTTAATCCATCACTGCCCCTAGTTTTTGAGTCTGTCTTAGGAAACGAGACAAATTCAGTAACTATATGACTTGGTGGATGGCCTCATGGCATAGAACTTTTTCTCGGTGCCTTGAGAAGAGAGCTTTCTTTTTGGAGGGTCTCATTACCTCGTAGGTGAGGATTTAACTTAGTTCCTCTTAGAAGGGGACTTTTCTCAGGGAGTTGTGCAATGCCTATTGGAAAAGGACTTTTACGGGACTCGGGACCTCTTGGAAGAGGACTTTCTCAAGACTTGGTGCTTCTTAGAAGAACACTTTTCTAAGGGATTTGTGCCTCGGGGAAGAGGACTTTCCTTTCTTTTTATTGTCTCGAAGAAGAGAACTTTTTTGGGTCTCGGTGCCTCTTGGAAGAGGACTTGGTGTCTCGTAGAAGAGGACCTTTCTTTCTTTTTAGTGCCTTAGAAAGAGGACTTGGTACCTCGGGGAAGAGGACTTTCTTTCATTTTAGTGCCTCGAGAAGAGGACTTTTCTTACTTTAGTGCCCTAAGGAAGAAAGGCTTTTCTCAGGACTTGGTGCCTCTTGGAAGAGGACTTTATCGGGACTTGGTGCCTCTTAGAAGAGGAATTTTCTCAGAGATTTGGGTCTCTTGAAAGACAACTTTCTTGAGACTTTGTGCCTCTTTGGAAGAGGATTTTCTCGGGATTTTGTGCCTCTTTGGAAGAGGACTTTCTCGGGACTTGGTGCCACTTAAAAGAGGACCTTTCTTTTTTTTAGTGTCTCGGGAAGAGGACTTAATGCCTCGGGGAAGAGGACTTTCTTTGGACTCTCTTTTCAATATTCTTTGGGAGCCTCTAAACTGCAACCTGATATCTAGCTCACGGTGTTGGGCGCTCCGATCTTACTAAAGGATAGACATTCCCCGCCCATCTCTCTTTCTAACTCTTTCCTCTATCTTGGAATGGGAGTCAATGACTATCTCTGGTAATCCAATAATCTAACTTTGATCGAATTATAGATTTCCACTCTCTACTCTTTTACAGTATTACTTTTCTCAACTTGTACAGCTCGTCTATTGTATTTCTTATAGATGGGCCTCGCACAAGGGTCGGACATGCTTGCTGGATCACGATGGAGCTTGACAGAAAGCATGCCTCGTTGGTAGGTGGAGGGTCTCTGGCCAATGGATGCTGGACGGCTCACTGGACTCCTTGGCTCCCTAGAGGACACAGGATCTCTAGACACCGTACGACGGACATCTCACTAGACTCCCTTGCTTAATACATGACGAAGGAACTCTAGACAGTGGACAACTCATTGGACTTACTTGCTTCCTAGAGGACGGAGGATCTCTGAATAGTGGACGGTGGACACCTCATTAGACTCCATTGCTCATTAGAGGACGGAGGATTTTTGAGCAGTGAACACTAGACGGCTCACTAGACTCCCTTCCTCCCTAAAGGACGGAATATTTGTGGACACTAGACGACGGACAACTCATTGGACTCCCTTGCTCCTTAGAGGATGGAGGATTTTCGAGCAGTTGACGGTGACAACTCACTGGACTTCCTTCCTCCCTAAAGGACGGAGGAACTCTGGACAGTGGACGGCGGACTGCTCACTGGACTCCCTTCCTCCCTAGAGGACGGATGAAGTAATATTTATCTATCAGGATAGACTAGATGAAATTTTGAGATGGAGAGTGATGGGAAATAATACATGGCTCAGCCCACATTTCCCAATTATTTACGAAGAATAATCAAATCGGGCATGTTTCGTAAAATGAAATAATAAGAGAATATTCCTTCGAAGATGCTCCCCCTCCCTCCTATAAAAGGAGAGGTATTCCACTAAGAAGGGAGGCCAATTCCCTCTCCCTGCCCACTTTCTCTCTCTAGAAAGCTTTAGAGTATATTTTCTTCTTCTTCAAGAGCTTATAGCTCCATCATTAATGGCTTCTAAGCCTAAATAATGTACCGTGTGCAACCCCGATATTAATAAAAATCCCCCGTTGGCAAGGTACCACCAAAAAAGGCCCGTGGTTTTCTCCCGATTTGGGTTTCCACGTCAAAATTCCTGTGTGTTATATTTTGGTGTATTTTTTAGACTAGTTTATCATTTTTTTCCCAGCTAAAAACGATATATCGGTCGATAATTTACACCATCATTTTTGGCACCAACCGTGGGACCCAGACAAAAAGATGTTCGGCCACCTTCCCCAAACTCACAATAACATTCGTGGCAGCAAAAAAACAGGGATGGGGGGAGTTTTAAGATTCAAGGAAAGAGCCCCAAAGAGAGGAAATTGCTAAAATAGTTCCTGAAGGAACATAATACGTGCGTTCTAAGGTCAGCCACGCCTCTTATTGAGAGGTTTGATCGGCATTACAACAGTTGCTAGATGGGGCCTTCCAAATCTATTCACTGCCGATGAAATCTGGGATTGTCGTCGCCGAAGTCAACCATCCTTGATCGTTGAAGCAATTTTCCGACGTTGTTGGTGTCGGAGGATTGTCACTTCCATCGTGCCGCTCTAATTGGTGACATTGCAATCAGCTGATGTTCCCGGGACACACCGCCGTTATTAGCGCTAAAACTCTCCTTGTATTTGCCGGCTCAGATGTCCATCGTAGTTGATGTCACAGCTAAAGCCGGTGTCACTAGAGCCATAATTCGTCGCTACTCCTCTCATGGGAGGACTATCCAATTTCGCCTGAATCTTTGGCTGAACACGACCGGTGCACCGCTGCTCAGACTCGCCGCTGCCGCTGTTCAAATCCACCGCCGCCGCCATAGCCAATTTCCACCAAGAGGGCAATTAAAATCAGCCATCGCAGCTGTTAGAGATAGTCCTTGTCGATGCCGTAGCTCAAATCGCCGTCTTTCCTATTAAAGACCACCGCTGCTCACTGCCACAACCAATCTCTCTTAGGGCCTTTGCCACTTTGGTAAAACAAGAAATGCAAGGAGATCTGTGGCGTGTTGCTCCAACATTTTGCCCATCTTCCCAAGGTCATCACTATATGTAGATAAAGCTTGCAGGAGGAGAGATTATCACCGCCACTGGAAATTGCCAGCCCGACACAACTGCTAGAATTTGTCGCCGCCATTACCGACTCCCATTGCTGTCGCCATGCTGCCGCCAGGGATACTCACTGCCAGAGCTCAAATCCATATGCACCACAAAGGCCATGATCCACTGTGACAATCACTAGATTTTGCCACTATTGCTGATGAGATCCTCCGTAGCGGCCACCATATAGAAGTTTGTTGCGGTAGATCACAACCACCATTGCTTAAGATTTGCCACTGTTGATGCTAAAATCAACCACACCCACAGGTCTCACCACTACCACCAGGAGCGGAAGCGCGCCAGCCCACCGTTAGCCTTTGTCCTTAGCTTCGTTCTTTAAAACACATGGTCGTGGTCAATGGGAGTCTTCTCCTTGGTGATGGGGGTCTTAGAGAGCCAAGGGCATTGCCGTGAAAATCTGCACCTCTTCAGTTTCCACCTCGCCCCGTAGATTTCCGTTGCATCGCCTTTGCACACGACGCATTCTGGTGTCGGCTCAGATCCGTTCGTCATCCCGGTGAGTGATTAACGACTACGAGCTGAGTTAGGCCACTGCATGTGGGGAAACATTGGAAGAAAAAAGGGAGAGTGATTTGTCCTGATCATTAGAATCCAATGGTCTTAAAGATCCACCACCACATGGAAAAGATAGGAAGGAAAATGGGCAGCAAGGTCAGGAATCCAGTTGTGGGACCATTACTCCACTTACTCTACTCACAAAATATACTCTGGGAATTATTGAGTATGTGCACATGATTGTGGGCCCTAGAAAAATTGTGAGGTGATGGAGATTACTCAGAAATTGCAATTCAGTCCAATTCAAAGGAGTGATGGAAATTAAAAATGGGGAAGCAAATGGAGGTAATCATTCAAAGTGGTGGATGGTGGGCTCCATTATGATTGTGAGCTTCTGAAATACTCCATATACTTCTATTGAGAAGTAATTATTATTGTGTACACATGTTCCTTGACTCCACCAAGCATATGTGACATATTCTCAACAAATGAGTCCGGTTGAACACGATGCGTGCATCTTGGACAATTTTCAAGGGAAGACTGAGACACAAGCCGAGCTTGGTACGCTGGTTACAACATCGGTCTTGCTCAGTATTTAAAAAAAAGTGGACGACTGAGACACAGGCCCGGCCTGGCACGCTGGTTACTACACCGGTCTTGCTCAGTATAATAAAAAATAATAAAATATGTGACACAGGCCCGGCCTGGCACGCTGGTAAAAATCATTCGCGTGCACGAGACAGGCCAAGAATGATATACACACCGGTCTTGCATATATTTTCTCGTAAGTCTGATCCCAATCGAATTGGGTACACCGGTGTCTCAGCTGAGCTTTTATCGTGGACGCCCGATTCTTCAAGCCTTTTGAATAAGGCACTCCGGAAGTGGTCTCTACATGACATGAGGATATTTGCATCAGTTAGCCAGGCTAACATCGATCTTCGACAAAGCTACTGCAGCATACTTAATTCGTATTATGTAACATCAATCACTTCGATGTACTAATTTCGCTATGCATCGTTTACTTAATCCGTACTAACATCGATCTCGACGAAATAACTACTTGAAGCACCGCCGCTTCATCATACTAACTCCGGTGTCGTATAACTATTCGAAGCATCATTACTTTATCGAACTGACATCGCTCTTGTTACGATAATTATTCACGCAAAGTTTAATCACACTAACACCGAGCTCCTTGGTAAAGATAATAATTATTTGAGCACGGCATAGGCTGGTCAAAAAATAAAAATGTATTGTACGTATTATTTTTTGCAAGAAAAACTTCTGATTCAAGAAATTAGAGAATTAATGAAGACTCGGAGGACTAACAATATCAACCGGTCAAGAATGGAAAGTAAGAAGATTGAAGATAATACTAGGAGGACTAATTTACTTTTTTAAGTTGATGATTCTCACAACTTAAAAAAGTGGAAGACTTCTTGATAGGAAATAATATGTGGCTCGGCCCACATTTCCCAATTATTTACGAAGAATAATCAAATCGGGTCTGTTTCGAAAAATGAAGTAATAAGAGAATATTCCTCCGAAGATGCTCGCCCTCCCTCCTATAAAAGGAGAGGTATTCCACTAAGAAGGGAGGCCAATTCCCTCTCCCTGCCCACTTTCTCTCTCTAGAAAGCTTTAGAGTATATTTTCTTCTTCTTCAAGAGCTTCTAGCTCCACTATTAATGGCTTCTAAGCCTAAATAATGTACCGAGTGCAACCCCGATATTAATAAAAATCCCCCATTGGAAAGGTACCGCCAAAAAAGGCCCGTGGTTTTCTCCCGATTTGGGTTTCCACGTCAAAATTCATGTGTTTATATTTTTGTGTATTTTTTAGACTAGTTTATCGGTTTTGCCCGGCTAAAAACGATATACCGGTCGATAATTTACACTATCAGAGAGCATACAATACCATGTGGTCAAAATAAAGTAAATAAAGAATTATATCTTCATAATAAATATACTTCTTTCATTCTCAAAAAGAGTTCCAATTTTGACCAAGTGTAAAAATTAAGAAATGTTAAATTATAGTTGACTTCCAATTTTGCCTTTGATGTGATAGATAAAAGTAAAATGTGATGGATAGATTATTAGAGGAAAAGTATGATGTGATGGGTAGGATATGAAAAAGTAAGGATCTGATGGGTATATTACATACCCAGGTATACCCGTCAGTACCGAGGTGACATGTCAACTGTGGGGTTAGGTGACCGGTGACGGGTCGGGTTTTCCAGACTCAACTAGGCGGCTATTTGGGGGACGGTGTTAGGTGACCGGTCACCCCCGGACAAAGGTGACCGGTTACAGGTAGAGTCTTCCAGACTCGGTTAGGCAACTATTTGGGGGACGACGTTAGGTGACCAGGAACCCTCAGACTAAGGTGACCAGTCACGACTTTTGGTCTTCAAGGATGGTCGTTAAAGACTTTTGGGGGGGCAATATTTGGTGACCAGTCACCCCCGGAGTTAGGCGACGATCACGATTTTGGTCTTTAAAGATGAACCTTGAAAGCTATTTTAGAGAAGTTGCTGGATGACCGGTCATCCCCGGATTGGAAGATCGGTCACTATCTTGGACTTTCTATAGACCTTTGAGGAATGAGGTTTTGGGCTCCGTACAATTTGACCGGTCTCACTTTTGGGTTTCGACCTATAGATCACGGTCAGACGAATCCACCACCCCAAACCCTAATATCTAGGAGATCAGCGGTAAGACCCACACCCGTCACTCAAGAGATCAATGTGGAAAAGTCCTTTGGCACTATCCTAGATTTGTATTCAATCAATATATTCTAATTGTATGGTGATGGATGCTGTCTGATTGTTTGTCCTTAAGTGAGCATCTTCCATGCACCTACTGAGCCTTCTCTACTCTATAAACAATCTGTGATAGAGAGAGGAGAGGTCATTCAATTTTACTTCCACAATACCCAGTACACTCTAGAAAAAAGTAAGAAATATATTCAGACTCGGAAGATATACCCCGATCTAAGTAATTCGTTGTTGTGTTCATTACTATTGCGCTTATCTTTATTTACCCGGTTAGGTCTCCCTAACCTGACCCAATTACCTACCTTTCATACCCGGTGGAATTTATACCATCATTTGGCGCCCACCGTGGGGCCAGTTTTTTAAAAAAATCTTGCCGAGTAAAGTTTCTTATACCCACGAAGTACCCACAAAAATGTCTTATAGCAGCCATCCCGTTATTTCTGAGCTCAACTATCTACCGTCCCGGCGGTAACGACTAGCGTGGGGACAACTTTTGCCCCGCTGACTTCCGTAAGATCATTGGGTATGATCCCGATCATGTTTGTCCCTAGCCCAATGCCTACGACGACTCCGTTATTTTCGATCTCATTGCCCCTATCCATGTGTCTCGTTCTGGGATCAAATATGTCAGGGGTAATGGCACCACCGATGATGTATCCTCCGCATCTTGCTCAGTTTGCCGCTAACCCGGCAAATGCTCAAGTGATGCAAGGCTATAACCATGTTATGGCCGTAATGCAACAATCAGGAGGGTATATGCCATATGGTTACCCTGACATGTATCCGATGCAGACAGCGGGATTAATTCCCCTGAAAATTCTTGGGATTACCCCAACGCCATTCGTCCCCCGGACGATCCATTCCATCCAGCCAGTGAACTTGGTTTCGGCAATGAACCAAGCTGGACCCTCACGTCCGCCGGTACACCATGTGGCCATGTTGTTTCGGTCACCAATGAGGAAGAGTGGGATGAGCCCCGTACCAACAAGGGCAAGGGCATCGCCAAGTCTACCAAAACCCGAGACTCGGCATTCAAACTTCTCGATTCTAAAAATGAGGGTCCCCAGAAATCTACAAAACTTAGGCTCAGACCTGATATGGTTCGTCCTAACGCATTTTAACATCGTGGCGGGGGGATAGGCGAGCAACCTGCTCAGTCTAGGTGGCCAAAGGGGACCCAGAGCCATCACCTGGAAGAAGGGGGATCCGATACATGGAAAGGAAGTTGCAGGCCTTGGAAGACAAGGTTGAGAAGAGTGGACGAAAGAAACATACCCTGGCGAAGTCACCCTTTACAGCCTCGGTACATATGGACAACATGACCTGAAAGATAAAGGCAGATATCGAGAAGTTCGCCGGTAAGGAGGACCCGGACATCCATCTAGATACTTTTCACAACGCTGCACGGATGGAAGGTTGCACGGTTGCCGAAGAGTGTTTGATGTTCTTTTCCTCTTTGAGGGGAAGGCCTGTGGAATGGTTTAATAATCTTCCCTAGGGTAAGATCGGATCTTTTGAAAGGCTAGCTAAAATCTTTCAAAAGAAGTATCAGGACAATTGCGTCAAGAGGAAGAAGTTCACCTACCTAAACACGGTAGGACAGAAGGAGAAGGAGACCTTGATCCAGTTCCTCACCCGGTGGAAGGAGGAAATGGACAAGGTGGAAGAGATTGACGAAAATACCTCCATGTCGCTCCTCATTAAAGCATTCCGCTCTGGGGAACTCTATACAGAATTTTGTAGGAAACCTCCTGCTGTCTACCAGGAAGCATACAACACCACATGGGAGTATGGGGAAGCGGAGAACCTGAATCAGAGCAAGAGAGAACTGGAGGAAGGATATAAGGCAAAGTCATCCCAGGCCAAAAGGGAAGATCAATCAGGAGGCTCGAAGTCAAAAACTCATCACGAAGGCATTGTGCATGAGATCCGAGATGATAAAAAAGGGGGCAAGCCTAAAAAGCCCTGGACAGACAAATGGTGCACCTACCACCAATCAGATCCACACAATACTATGGAGTGCTGGAGTATGAAAGTTTTACTTTGGGAAATGGTAAACAAAGGCGAGTTCAGTGGGGAGTACGCGGAAGAAGCGAGAAAGGCAAATAGGTGGAATCGCCCTGGAGAAGGGGAAAAAGATAAGGCAATGAAACCCCCTCCAAGAACGGAGTACATAACCATGATTGTGGGAGGGCCTGAAGGGGGAGACACAACGTTCCAAAGGAAGAATTGGGCAAGGAGCTTGAATGTGGAAACGGTGTCGGCGGAACCACATACAAAAAATGTGAAGAGAGAACCTATCACTTTCAGTGACAGGGATTTGCCCCGTACCGGGGAAGATCATAATGACCCACTGGTCATTACAATGGATATAAATGGTGCAGACATGGCCAGAGTGTTAGTTGACACAGGGAGCAGTGTTAATGTTCTGTACTTGGAGACGTTCAAGAAGCTGAAGTTGGATAGGTCATAGCTGGAGCCCCTGCAGACTCCCTTGTCAGGCTTCAGCGGAGCAACGATTGAGGCTGAGGGAACTATCACATTGCCAGTATAATTGGGGACAGGTATCAGGGTGGTGAGCAAGCGGATGAAGTTCGTAGTGGTTGACATTCATTGTGTACACAATGTGATCCTTGGACAACTCGGGATCAATCATGTAAGGGCAATCATTTCTATGACCTACCTGTGCATGAAGTTTTAGACCCCCACTGGTATTGGAGAAGAGAGGGGAGACCAGAAGAATGCTAGGTCATGTTACCTGATTGAGGATGACCCGCCTCTTTGAGCGTAAAGAAGATGACCCGCCTCTTTGAGCTGATTGAGGTCATCTCCCAACAAGTGGAGAAAGGAGAAGAGAAGCCAAGGCTGGAGCCTGACTCTAGCACGGAGGAGGTTCAGATTGACCCGTCCATACCAGAAAGGGTGGTCAGGATCGGTACCAGGCTACCGGTTGAACAGAGGGTTGCAATCATTTAGGTTCTCACTAGGTATAACTCTTTATTTGCATGGAGTGTTGCAGATATGCCAGGGATAGATAGATTGCTGATATGCCATCGTCTATCAGTGATGGAAGGGTCTCACCCCGTGAGACAGAAGAAAAGATATTTGGCTAGCAAGTGAAGGGAGTTTGTGAAAAAAGAGGTCAAAGATTTTCTTGGGGTAGGTCACATCAGGGAGGTTCATTACCCTGAATGGCTAGCCAATGTTGTCTTGTCCCCCAAGTGAGACACATGGCGGTTGTGTGTTGATTACAAAGACTTCAATAGGGCATGTCTCATGGATTCGTATCCCCTTCCCAGCCCTGATCAAATGGTCAACGAGACAGCAGGGTGCAAACTGCTCAGTTTTATGGATGCCTTTAAAGGATATCATCAAATTTACATGGCCGAGGATGACGAGGAAAAGGCATCTTTCCTCACCCCCGATGGGACATATTGCTACAGGGTGATGGCCTTTGGGTTGAAAAACTCCAAAGCCACTTATCAGAGGATGGTGAACAAGTTGTGGTCTTCACCACTCTATAAGGGTTCAATGTTTACCACGCCTTGATTTTTAAGTTCAAGCTCACCAACAATGAAGCAGAATACGAAGCCCTGGCAGGCGGGCTGAGGTTGGCTAAAACCTTGCATGTTTCACACATGTTCATCAAATTGGATTCGAGCCTAGTGGTAGGGCACGTCAATGGGAATATGGAGGCAAAGGGAGAGAAGATGAAACAGTACCAAGACCTGGTGATGGCCTAACCACGAGACATGGAAGAGTATAAATTGGAGCAGATTCCCAGGGGAGAACACAAACGCAGACCTGTTATCAAAGTTAAGCCAGACAGCCTCGGAACATGTCTCGAAATTAGCCAAAATCGAGATGGTGAAGAAGCCGAGTATTAAACGGCAACCATTTGGCATGGTCATAGAACTTGACCGGGTGGGTCCCGGCCTGGTCAAGGCGGATAATTTCTGGATGACAGATTTGGTCAAATATTTGGTGACCGGGCAACTTCCTGAGGAAGATGATCGGTCACGCAAAGTAAAGTTGCGGGCACCCTGTTTTTAGCTGCTTGAGGGAAAACTATACAAACAGGCATTTGGTGGACCATTGTTGAGATGTCTGATGAATTTTGAAGCGAAGAGAGTGGTTGCCGAGGTTCACGAAGGTGTCCGTGGAACTCACCAAATGTCAAGGACCCTGGCACAAAGAATCATCTTGCTAGGTTACCACTAGCCGACAATGAACATGGATTGTGAGCAGTATGTACAGAAATGTCCATCTTGCCAGATTTTTTACAAGTTCCCAGGGCGCCCAGCAAATTACTATCATCCTGTATATAATATTGTCCTGTTCGCAAGCTTTGGACTGGATATCGTGGGACGTTCCCCGTGGCTCAAGCAAGTAAGAAGTATGTTGTCGTTGCCATTAACTATTTCACGAAATGGGTAGAAGATGAAGCTTATGCAACCATTACTACAAAGCAATGTCAAAAATTCGTCTAGCAGCACATCATAACTCGGTTTGGAGCCTCGCGAAGCATTGTGACTGATAATGGGCCACAGTTCCGAAATCCATGCTTTACTAAATTCTTGGAAGATTTCAGAATTACTCACAACAAGGCATCAATGGCCTACCATTAGGGAAATGGTCAGAAAGAGAATGTAAATCGAACCATAGTGGATGGTATCAAGAAGCGACTAGGGGAAGCCAAGAGGAATTGGCTCGAGGAGCTACCACATATCATATGGGCTTATCAGGTGACGTCAAGGAGGGCTACTTGAGAAACACCTTTTTTCGTCACATATGGTTGTGAGGCAAGACTGCCAATTGAAGCGAAGATTCCAACGTTCTGTGAGGCAGAATACAATGAGCAAGAGAACAACGAGAATCACATGACTGAGCTGAACATAGTCGAGGAGAGAAGGGCCATGGCTGAAATAAAAATGATGGAATATCAGCAGACGGTAAAGACTTACCATGACAACAAGGTAGGGCTCCGTTACTTCCAAGTAGGTGATGAGGTCTTGAGGCGTAGAGAATCAAGCAAACCTAGGGACGGAGGAAAACTTGCTAAGAAATGGGATGGTCCGTACAAGGTGACTTCAATCATCCGCCCAGGGACCTACAAGCTGGAAACCTTGTAGGGGAAAGAAGTTGAGAGATAATAGGATTTGCATCATCTAAAGAAATTTTACCGTTGAATATCTGAAAAGGTTGTGCTAGGTGTGTGTAATTGAAATCTTCTCAACAAATGAATGGAAACTATTTTCACTTAAATTCCGAGGAGTGGAGTTAACTAACGACTTTGGGCGACCGGTCTTGATGTTTGTGACCGGATCGAAGTATGAACCAGAAAAACCATACATACCGCCAAAAAAAACCCTTGGGATAGGGGCCTTGATGTTTGAGGTATTGCCTTGAGATAGGCTAGACCTGGAAGAGGGTTCGCATCCATACTAAACATGGATCCTGACTAGTTTTTTACTGGGAAGGGAGGAAAAGATGCTAAAAAATGATGCCGTCTCATGAGACCATCGCTTGTGGATTAGAAATCCTCTTTCTGAAAAAGATGGAATCTTCCAAACACATAATACATGGCCATGTAGATTGGAAGCATGTTGGTTTTCACTGGCGTACCCCCCTTGGGAAGATTAGATGGGCTTGGTCAATCTAATAAGGTAAATAAGGCACAATAAAAAACTTAAACCCGGAAGAGGGGCCCTGGAACAAGAGTGATGCCTAGAAGAGGGCAGGACCTTGGGGAGGGTTCGCGGTCATAGTACATGATCTTGGTTCTCCAATGTTAGCTAGGTCTTGATGTGGGGACTTAGATAAACATTACCCAGGTAAAACTGGATGCCCAAAATCAAAAGAAATATTGGATGCCCGATTAAGTCAGACCATCACGCATGTGTGGACCATGCAAGTGACTAATTCGAGAAGAAACAAGATGATTGGTGACTTGCATACTTAAGTTAGACCGAACGATTTTGTTAGGGGACCGATCGTAGAGTACCAAGAGTTTAAGGAGAACGAGGGTATTGGCCAATGTGATCAGTCACCATTTCAGTAATACCACCGGTCACATTTTAAAAAATTTTATTGGCAATTTGGCGGATTTGACCTATGACCGGTCACCATTCCGGTAAGGGTGACCGGCCACCATTTTGGCAATGTGACCGGTCACAATGTAAAATTTCGGAATGGAGGAGTTTGGCGAATTTAGCCCGTGACCGGTCACCATTTCGGTAAGGTGACCGGTCACCATTTCGGTGATGCCACCGGTCATGTTTAAAAATGGTGAAATCTTTTAGAGAAATTTGCCCCGGGGACAACGGTCATCACTCTGAAAGGGTGACCAGTTTCGAATTCTGATGCAGTTGTTTTATTTTCAACTATGAATCTTCCTACGGTAACATAATCAATATTAAATCAAGCAAGCAATTAGAGTCAACTCGGTTCAAAATCCAACATTAATGTCAATAGTACAATGGAAGAAAATTCAAAGGTACCAATCTAAAGTCTACCCTTATTCAAGAGGGAATGGGGGCATTGGTTCATCCTTGTGGAGCGGGGCATTGGCCCAATCTTAGAGTGTGATCTAGAGCTCTTGTGTGAAGCCCTCTTCCTTTTCTCCACCGAGATCTTTTCGGTGATGAGCGTAGGAATCTCGCTCTAACTGGCCACTTCAGCAACATCCTACACCTGGCTTGGGTCGTGCTTTAGGGGTGACTCATGGCCTTGGTTCTTCTCAGATTGGACGTCATCTGTGACATGATCATCGATCCCGGTGGAGTGATTGTGGTCGACTAGGGGGGAAGTAACGTTGCCATAACTGGTCTCGAGATCCTCGACCTCATCCTCGGGGTTGACATAACTTCTGAAGTTCATCTCTATCAAAAAAAAGAGGACCACGGTTAGAAAAAAAGAAAAAAAGAAGTTAAAGTGTTGTGAAAGGCAACCAACCTAGATGAGTGGACCCGGCCTCAGCATTACTCTCTGGGGTTGCGACCTGGTCAGCCTCTGCTTCATTAGACCTGTGGGTACCCTCATCTAGGTTAGGGACCCGGTGCATCCAATTCTCGAAGCTAAAAGCCTTCCTAGTGGCCGGATCTCCCTTCAACAACGCAGCACAATCTTTCTCAAGAGCTGAAGTGGCGGCCGGGAAAACATCTTCAGCTTCAGGGAGCTGGTCTCCCCATTGGAGTTCACTATCAAAAAGGGAACTCGCCCCCGGGAAACTCAATAAAGACGAATCGTGTCTTCCATTTTTTATGACCGGGTTGGACGTCAGAGATAAATGATCAATCTTTCCGGGAGTGATAGTACACGAGGCTAGAGCAATTGGTGTTACCCGGTAGGACGTCGAACATAAAGAGAAAGAGTTCTAGGGAGGGGGTGTTCTTTTTGAAGTTGCAAATATTTGTGAAGCAGTTTAGTAGCCCGTGGGAATTTGGGGTCAACTGACCCGGGAGTATGGAAAATCTTTTGCATATCTGGACGAGAAGGGGATGAAGGGGAAAGAGGATACCGGTGTCCAATAAAGATAGATGGAAACCTAACTGTGGTCTTCCGT